CCGTAGGCTCGGCCCAAAATATACCCTTTGAACCCGCCTAGACGGGTTCAGGGTCTGTCTACATCCCTGGACGAAACCTTGCCCTTCGGCGAAGCTTCGTCCTGGTTCCTCTCTGCCAAAGCAGAGAGTACGACAGACTTCGCTAACAGTCAAGGACTGTATCGCGACGTATCTCAACAGCAGGTATTCTCTCTGTCAGTATAAGTATACTTTGGACGAGTCCATCTTATGTAAAAAGGGGAACGCCCTACATCACTTATTATTTGATAAAAATATTGAAAATCGGAACTAAAATACTGAAGAAGTCTTTAGTTGTTGGAAAGTTATGGCCTGTCAAACCTCCCCAGTTTGCTGGTTATTTGTCTTAAAGATCACTGTTACAATAAAATAAAACAAGCACTAGGGAGATGACATAAAACTAAGCGCTACAAATAAATATGTGCCCGACAAAGACACCATAAATAGATTTATCTATTTTGGTCAGATTTTCACTTAATGAAGACAAACGAAAACCATTCAAACATAACATGAAAGGCTTAAATTAAGGCTACAAATGGCTTTCTACCATAACGTTAATGTCACTTTTCACAGACCAAACGTCGTATAATGTCCATTTAAATTCCGAGACCTGCAGCTTATAATGACATATGAGAAAATTGATATATAAAGTATATATTTTCTTGTGAGGTAAACCTAGTTCGAAAATGCATCGTTTTCAATTGTGACCTTTTGAATAAACCTTACTTGAACTTTCTCTGGCCCCAATTAAAACCTTATTTTAAAGCAATATTAAGGTATCTAAGTGTTTTAAAACATCGACGATGCGATACCGAAATAGGAACGCACATTAGATTAGATTAGATAGATAGATAGATAGATAGATAGATAGATAGATAATGTTAAGCCTAAGATAGATAGATAGATAGATAGATAGATAGATAGATAGATAGATAGATAGATAATGATGTTCAAGATTAGGTGGGTACGGAGGAAGAAAGATAATGATAAAATAGATAAATAATAATAGATAAATTGGATAAATAGATAGATAATGAATGATACGTATGACATATATATATATATATATATATATATATATATAGATAGATAGATAGATAGATAGATAGATAGATAGATAGATAGATAGATAGATAGATTATGATGTTCAAGAATAGCTGGGTACGGAGGTAGATAGATAATGATAAAATAGATTAGATAAATAGATAGATAATGATACGTATGAAACAAACATAAGAGGTGTGCGAGCAATCTAAAAATGAACAAAACAGAGACCCGATTAGTCACAGAGTATCTGCACAAGAAAGCTAATTCACGTAAGAAAATGCATGAGGACATGGTACAGACTGAGGACTCACCTTCTTATGCAACTAAGAAGTGAGATGTAGAATTCCAGCGTGGCAGGGACAACACAAGATGACGATCGGTCAGGTTGTTCAAAAACCTCAACCACTGATTGATGAAATTCACCGTAGGGGTTTGAATGATAGGCGTCTGATAATCCAGCATGTAGCTAAGTCCATAAGTATCAGTTCTGGTTTGAGGCATACTGTTTTAACCGAGATTTTGAGGATGAACAAGCTGCCTGCAAGATGGGTCCCAAGAATGCTGACAGCAGAGAAGAAGCTGAAAAGGGCCTGATATTTCCCGGGAATTTCTGACTAGCTTCCATATTGACCGTGAGAATTTCCACCGAAGAATAGTAACTCATGAGTAAACCTGTGTTCAGCATTTGGAACCTGAATCAAAGATACAAATCAGAGGAAACTGGTTCTTCACCCCGAAAATGTTCACGCAGGCAGCGTCTTTTGGCAAGGTGATGGCTTTTGTTTTTGCTTTTTTTTTTGTTTTGTTTTTTTTTTGTTTTTTGGATTCAGAAGGCGTAATCATGAGCGACTACCTGGAAAAGGGAAAAACTATTAATGGACAGACTATTCATCAGAATTAAGACAAATGAAGGAAGCAATCAAGTCGAAACGAAGAGAGAAGCTGACGGCAGGTGAGCTCTTGTTCCAGGATAACGCGTCCGTTCACATTTCTCAGGTTGCCGTATCTGAAGCAGCCAACTGTTGATTTGAGTTGCTACCCCATCCCCTTTACTCACCAGACCGAGCTCCATCTGATTTCTTCCTGTTTTCTAAACTCAAATCCCACATGCGTTGTCTCTATTTGCGAAACAATGACGATATAATATGTACTGTGGAAGAGGTTTTTGGAAGACCTGAACGCCATTTTCTTCCATGATGGGATTGTAATGCTTAAGCATATTTCTAACAAGTACAATGATGTCAAGGGGACTATATTGAAAAAATAGTGAAAAAAGGGTCTTGTTTCTCCAAATCATTCTGCGTGGGGCTTAGAACTTTTTGAAAGACCCTCGTAGATAGATAGATAGATAGATAGATAGATAGATAGATAGATAGATAGATAGATAGTCAGTCACCAGTAATAGAACATGCCCAAGATGATTATAGATTGGAGACGTCAACAAGTCAGAAGTAGATTGGAGATGTCAACAAGTCAGAAGTTTAAGTTTGTGGGATATATATATATATATATATATATATATATAATAGCATAATGAGAAGCCACGTATACTTTCTTAATATGTATATATAGAAAAGTTTCAAATTAAAAATTATAATGTTTTATATATATATATATATATATATATATATATATATATATATATATATAACTAAACTCGTTTCGAAAAACGTTCGAATTTTTGATTTGCTAATCAAATCAATCTCGAGGGAAAAAAAGGTTTTAAAAAAAGAAAGAGTTACAAACATGAACTTCTGCCGACAAAAAAAATCGCACAGATGCAGGTCAGAAGCCCAAAGAAAAAAACCCTGATACGAGTAAACAACTAACTAACAAAAAAGAGCTCAATACAAACCGTAGAGCAGACCTAGATACACCTAGTGAGCCAGACAAAACCTAGGTTTCACCTAAACGGATCGTCAGGGAAAGTCAAGCTAACGAGGCAAAGAGAAACATATTTATAGGCGATAGCTAAAATCATACCACGTGACCTAAAACCACAAACACAAACCTGACGATCCGTTTAGGTGAAACCTGGGTAGGTTTGTCTGGCTCACTAGGTGTATATATATATATATATATATATATATATATATATATATATATACATGAATTTTTTATAAAAATAATTACATATATATATATATATATATATAGAGAGAGAGAGAGAGAGAAAATGTGACACCAAAATCTGAAACAGGCATTGGACTAGTAAAGATGCCTTCCAAAAGCTAAGCAGCGTTTTGAGAAACAGAAAAAATATTTAGAAGCAAAGAAAGGAGTGCTGGGTTGATATGTGGCATCCATCTTCTTGTATGAGAGTGAATGTTGGACAATATTCCCACAGATGAAACGAAAACTGTAGACAACAGAAATGTCGTGCGACAGAAGGCTACTGAGAATTTCTACTTGACGGATTGATTAATTAACGAGGAAATTTCAAAGAAAATGGATTCAGAAAGAACACTTATTCTCAGAATAAAGAAGAGCTATCAGAAAGAAGGGCTTGTAAAAGATAAGAGTCACAGGGTGTACTGAGTGCAAGAAAGATAGGGCTAGGCAGGGGGGGCACCTACTTAATGAGCATGCGTGAATGGATCGCGGAGTGGGGGTTAGGTACCTTAGAAAGGGGAGAACTGTTAAGAGCCACAAGAGAAAGGAAGTTTTGGAGTGCCATGATCGCCCATGTCCTGAAGGGACGTGGTGTATAGGAGACGAAGAACCGTCTAGGAGAATCCCATTCCTGATTTTTGAATTACTCATTATTAATTACACGTTATATATTTCAAGCAAAAATATCGGACATTATTTACTCATTGCCTGTGATTTGCGACCACAATGTAGCAATTTAACATGGCTTCAATATGTACAAAAAAAAAGGAGTTAAAAGTCATTGGTATTATCAAGAAAAGAGTTCTCTAAAACTTTGATGTTTGGTTATCTGGTTAGATCTGGGAAATCAGATCAGTATACACATGCAAACACAACATATTTGTGGTGTTGATATGTAATATTTACGAAGAATTATAAATTATTATATAAAGGATAAAAGAATAATATATTTCTAAGTGACCATTATTTAACAAAAAATAGTTTTAAAAAGATCTCATCATTTTGCAGTGTAAATGGCTAGATGTGACCGCAAGTTCTATGCTGACAGTTTCTTTTCTCGCACTTCTTGCTTGTGGAACTCACTTCCAGTTTCTTGTTTTCAAATCAAGTCTGGTCTTCAAAAATCGAAATGCGATGTCAATGGTTATCTTCTATCTTCTTAATTTCTGTTCTTTTATTGTTTTCACTCCTTAATAATGTTTTTCTTATATTCTTTCATATTAAGTAACTCCCTGCGTGTTAGTGGCTTTGTTGCCTTGCTTGGGATGAAATCATTTTTTTTAAGTAAGTCAGGGGACGACTTTTTCAAGATCACCCAGGTTATCTTAAGTGCCGCTCATTCATTGTTTTTTTTTTGTTTGATTTTTAAGTCTGAACGATCGAATTGAACATACACAATGATATTTCCCTATTGAAAAGGTGTATTGCATAATAATTATTTCAGTCCGAATTTTGCGAATCGAATTTACAATACAAAAGCTTTCTAGTCAAACAGGCTAAACTTTGACATATAGCTGAGAGCTTATATCGTCAATTCGAGAAAAATAAACATATATTCCGATTTAAATGTATATCCACATGAATATAAAAAATATTAAATATATTTAAGCCCGTCTTTGATAGAAACAGAAACCATTTCTTTTCGTGAGATAATTTCTGAACTCAGAACTAAAATCTTTGAATAAGATTCCCTCACGTAGGGGGGGGGGCAGGTGACTTCCTAAGAATGAGTCAATAGGGAGGGGACAAGAAAGAAAAGACTATTTTAATTAAATAAAAAGATTTTTCTTCAAATTATCAACATACACACACACACACATACATTATATATATATAGATAGATAGATAGATAGATAGATAGAGATAGATAGATAGATAGATAGATAGATAGAAAGAAAGTGAAATAAGAAGTTATTGCAGTAGATAGATAGATAGATAGATAGATAGATAGATAGATAGATACGAAAGGACTGAAGTAGATAGATAGGTAAGAAGACTCTGAGAAAGATAGATAGATAGAGAGAGAGGGAGAGACAGAGAGAGAGAGAAAGCGAGATAAGAAGTAACTGCAGTAGATAGATAGATAGATAGATAAGAAGACACTGAAATAGAGAGAGAGAAAGAGTGATAGAGAAAGTGAGATAAGAAATCACTGCGATAGATAGATAGATAGATAGATAGATAGATAGATAGATAGATAGATAGATAGCTGAGATAGATAAATACGAAAGGACTGAAGTAGATAGATAAGAAGACACTGACATAAATAGATAGATAGATAGATAGATAGATAGATAGATAGATAGATAGATAAAAATACATATATTCCTTCCCTTTATCGTTCAAACCGACCAAAACCTAACCAGGCAAACGTGTAAAGGGAATTCTTTTGATCCATATTGTTTCCTCTGTGCATTGCGTTGCACCAGTTCTCCGGCTACTAACAGACCTTGAAGGCTCCAATCCATGCATAAATACGTTCCCACAAGGGAACGCACCGAGTGAATGAATCCGAAGATGAAACCAGCTTGAATGAAATCTGCATGGCAACATGAAAATGCTTCAATGTCGAAGCCGACGTAAAATCCAAGCGAAAGGATATAAATCAAGAAACCTAACAAACGCCATCAAATTTATCTGTTGTGGCAAGAAAACATATATCATATTTTCTTCCACAAGGTTAAATATTACCTTTACATCTCTCTGTCTGTCTGTCTATTTACAGATAGATAGATTCATCTATCTACATATATCTCTATCTACAGAGAGAAAATATATATATATATATATATATATATATATATATATATATATATATATATATATATATATATATATATAGTGCTGTTCGATAAAAAGTGATTCACTTGATTTTTTACTAAAAATATTTTTTTATCTATTGTTTTTGGGCTTAAAATAATTTTTAGTCTTACTAATATAAAGACCCCTTCTCGACCACGTAGGAAAATGGTTATTCACCCTAAGGTATTCTATTGATAATTATAAATTTGGATATAAATGAGATTCAGGAAAAAACTCTGTGCAAAAAAAGTAACTCGGATATCGCATTCTAATGATTAAACTGGTAAATTTAAAGAGTTTTTGATAAAATATTGAAAACTATTTTACAATACACTCAGAACAATATTCTAGAGAATTCTAGAACAGCTTAAATTAAATCTAGAGTATTCCAGAATATCCTAGAAAGTCTCATACAGTATTATAACAGTTTGAAATAGCCACTCAGAACCACTTCAGGCATCTATTATTGCCCTCTCAAAAGCAGGCAAATCTACGAGAGAAATTGCAGAAATTGCTATAACCTCGCAATCAACTGTCTCTCGAGTGCTTAGGACACATAATAATGCCACTCCTGCTCCAAGGAAGGAAACAAGGGGACGAAAGAAAAAGATTGATGATAGAACTGGCAAGGTAATCAAGAGAGAAGTTGCGAAGAATAGGACTATAACTAACCCAGAAATTGCAGCCAATCTAAGCGAAGAGCAAAGTGTTAGTCTTGCCTCTTCAACAATCCGTCGGTAGTTGTTCGAACAATGCTACAAATCTTGTACACGAAGGTTTAAGCCGCTAATAAGTAAAGCCAACAAAGCCAAGAGATTTGAATGGGCTCACTATTACAAAAATGTCACCGTAGAAGACTGGAAGAATGTTCTCTTCTCCGATGAAACGAAAGTTGAGCTAAATTCAAAGGATAAGCGATCAAAAATCCGAAGAAGAAGCTTTGAAAGCTCTTTGAATTTAGCAGTAAGTGCTGTCAAGCATCCGTTCACTATAATTTTCTGGGGTTGCTTTTCTTTTCATGGAACTGGTTTCTTAAAACCTATTGAAAAGACCCCCAGGAGCGAGCAGTACAAGGGAATTTTAGAATCTTGTCTACTTCCTTCTGCTGAAAGGGTGCAAATCGATCCCACCAAGCATTTTTATGCAGGATAATGCTCTCTGTCACAAATCAAATTTGATGAAGGAATACTTTGATGAGAAGCAGGTAAGTGTTATGACATGTCCGCCCCAATCTCGTGACCTCAACCCCATAGAAAACCTGTGGAGAATTATAAATTACAGGCTCTCGAGAAAGCAATTGAGCAACAAAGAGGATTTGATTGTGAATTTCATAACCGAATGGAATTCAATGCTTGGAGATGAGATTTACCATAACCTAATGAAGTCAATGCCAAAAAGGGTTGAAAAGGTTATTTAAAATAAAGGAGGACCCATAGATTATGAAATATTTCGAACTATATTACCTATTATAAATAAATTATACTTCTATTATTCTTTATTTAAAGCTGTTCGGTTATGTTTCTATTGATTAATAGTTGCAGGAAATAAGTGAGTCACTTTTGAGCCAGAGTTTTTTCCTAAATCTCATTTATATCCAAAATTATAATTATCAATAGAATACCTTAGGGTAGTAAACTTTTACTAGCTGGTCGGGAAGGGGTCTTTATATTAGTAACAGTAAAAATTAGTTTGAAACCAAAAAACAATATACGAAAAAAAATTTTTAAAAAGAATTTAGATGAGTCACTTTTATCGAACAGTACTGTATATATATATATATATATATATATATATATATATATATATATATATATGTGTGTGTGTGTGTGTGTGTGTGTGGTGTGTGTGTTTGTGTGTTTGTGTGTCTTTGTCTCTCTCTCCCTCTCTAGATAGATAGATAGATAGATAGATAGATAGATAGATAGATAGATAGATAAAACAGCTTATTTCGCCCAACGTCAAGCGATGTATTTGTGGAAGATCTTGTCTATCTAACTATTTATCTATCTACAGATATCTCGATCTACAGAGAGAGAGAGAGAGAGAGAGAGAGAGATCTATGTCTGTGTTATACCTGACGTACCTATTCTATTATTAATAGACTCTCCCATACATAATAAGTAGTAGTAGTAGTAGTAGTAGTCACCAGTTCGGCTCAGTGGTGTTGAGCGAGTCAGTCGATATCGGACATTGAAGTACCAACCATCACAACTAGATTGCTGCGTCATTAACTCTTATTTTCAAGTTCCTAACGTTTTGTACGTCGAACCTAATTTAGGACGACTTATTGAAATACAAGCCTCCACTGTGAAAACTACTCTACAACAGTCTGTCTGTCTCTTTATATATATATATATATATATATATATATATATAGATAGATAGATAGATAGATAGATAGATAAAACAGCTTATTTCGCCACACAAACGTCTACTGATGTATTTATGGAAGATCTTGTCTTTAACGCATTTTTTCATCGTGCTCATTATGAAGAAATAGAATATTATTAATAATAATAATAATAATAATTCATATTCATTCATCTTACCTCTACACTGAGTTTGATGGAATAGTATCCAAACTTTTACTCCAAACAGACCTCAAGTGAAACTCCTACATATGCACCATCGCTGAAGATTCTGAAAAATTGGTTGGTTTCCTGTATCGCTGCAGTAAGTGCCTGACTCCTCCCGCTATCCTCTAATTTTACAAGAGACAGATCACGCCGAAAACGGGTAACGTTGACATATATGGGTTGGAGCTACCCACTCTTCACATCCCAATTTCGATGAAGTACAAAAACGTCTCTGCGTCCTTGTGAATGAAATATTATTATCCGCACTGTAACCACTTTCTTACCGACAAAACGTCGTCGCCTCCCACGAGTCAATGGCTATTTCCATGGAAAATGCTCAACAAAGTACATTCCTTAGTTGTCAAAGTTCCACCCTTCGCGGCTAAAACTTGCCATGCCATAGACATTGTAGCAAAGCACCCAACTTCTCTTAGAGTTTCATTGGTGAGATGTAAGTTTCAATCGAGTAGCTTCTCCCCACGACTCGGAGCCGACGCCCAGGAGGATGCTACCTCGATCACTACAGTCTTAAACCCGTTCAAGTCTAACATTAACCATTATTTTCACAACATATTCGCCTAAACTGTACCATTTTCTCTGTAATCCTCTGCATTCCGGACCTTGTACAGGATGAAAATCACTGTAGAAAAAAATCTTGGGATAAGAAGGTGGTGTAATAGATAGCAGCTCGGAATGAGAAGTTGAAGAGCCGAGTTCGATTTCCAGTCGATTCGTTACATTCTCTTGTGCACATACCAGTGAAAGATTACGCAACGGATCAAACGATAGTTTCTCTCTGCCCAGAGGAACGCGGTTTCGAATCCTGCCGGAGAGTGCCTATTATTTCTGTAATAGGTTTTATTGAATATTCAAGCCGGTAGACAAAAATAAATAAACTGACCGTCTATTCAAATCCACGAAAAATCAACTACACACACACACACACATATATATATATATATATATATTGTTAGACATTTTTATGACGGTCGTCCTCGAGTATCGCATCCAGAGGTTGGCAGTGAATATTTCGGAGACAGTAGGAAAGCGTAGTGGAGGTTCGCAGTGGATATCACAGCAGAGTGTAGTTCGTCCTTCGCCTTTGGTCCTTCCGGTAGGAGGAAACAAGATGTCCGCCTTTATACACTATGAGTACAGTGTTGGGCGGCTTCTGATTGGTCAACCTTCTATTGGTCGACTATAAAGGGAAATAAGTCATTCTGACTCGCTCACTAGTTACACACGGTATATCCCCAAAAAACCGTAACAGCCCCCCCCTATTTTGGGTATATAATAGAATCTTCGTTCCAAAGTATTAGTAAAGTTAATAAATACTTTAATTTAAAAAAATTATTGGTTGTTTTTTTTTGTATTTTTTTTTTGTATTTTTTTTCTTGCAATTAATATTAATACGTCAGAAATACTTTAGTATTCTAGATTTTATTTCTTAAGGAAAATTAGTATCAACAAAATTAGTCATATCACTTTATCCACAGTTAAATACTTTGGGTTAATAAAACATGAATAATCAATATTATAAGTTCACACTGCGGTCACAAAAAAAAAGTGGAAAGAATTGTTACTTTACCCATAACTGGGACCCATTAAAACAGTTACTATCACCCCGGGTCAGAGTGATCCAGAAAATCATTTAAAAAATTGTTATTTTATCCATAGCTAAGACCCATTAAAACAGTTACTATCACTCCGGGTCAGAGTGATCCAGAAAATCATTTCTAGAAGAGGATTGGGCTCAAGGTAGGACCATTTACCTTTATACCCCGAAACTAAGGACTTACATTCATACCAAAAACCGAACTGACGTTTCTTAGGACAGTAACTAATGGATGCAGTTTTACGTCCTAATAAGGACCTTACAGGGACTTAACGGATGCAGTTTCACGTCCTGCCCAGGACCTTAATGGATGCAGTTTTACGTCTTGCCCAGGACCTTAATGGATGCAGTTTTACGTCTTGCCCAGGACCAATGAGGACCTCATTGGTCAGTACCAAATATGGCAGAAGTGAAAGTCTGTAATTTGATTTTTGTAATTGATTTTGTAAATAAATCTGCCATATTTTTTCCCGAT